AACAAAGGTTACATTGCCTCCCACATAATCTCCTAAAAGGGAAAGAAGTTCATTTAATTGGCCATATGCAACCTATAATTTCACCATGACTCCACTGCCTGAAACTTCAGACACCTTTATCTGTCTTCCACCCTTGGGTGGCAGGCAGTAAATTCTTTCCATCTTTCAGTAAACATGTCACCTGCAACCATCACCTCAACCACATGGCTGTCAAAAAGATAGATTCATTGTACACTTTGTTTATCCCTCCCAGTTAGCTCTAGCTAGAAAAATCCAAGTATGCATATAACCACATAATGACAGCATGTCTGGGCTAGTGGTTAAGAAACACACACCTGATCTTCCTAGTTATTATCAAATAGGAAAGTACAATGCTGGAAACATTTCTGTGGCTGGCATATATAGTTATAGCTTTCAGCAATCCTGATTTTCTTTTCAGATCTGTGTAAGTTCAGTGAAGCTTTAGAGATTTATAGCCCTCGTTTTAGCACCTTTTACTAAAGCCAGCTCTTCTCCTTCCCAGAAAGTAGCAGGGTCAATCACCATAAGGTAAAGGTTCCCCTCACACATTTCTGCTAGTCCTTCCCAACTCTAGAGGGTGGTGCTCATCTCTATTTCAAAGCTGAAGAGCCAGCATTGTACGAAGATGTTTCTGTGATCATGCAGAAGGCACACAGAGTGCTGTTACCTTCCCACCAAAGTGGTCCCTATTTTCCTACTTGCATTTTTACATGCTTTCAAACTGCTAGGTTGACAAAAGCTGGGACAAGTAACAGGAGCTCACTTTGTTACGCGGCGCTAGGGATTCAAACTGCCAAACTGCCAAACTGCCAACCTTTCTGACTGACAAGCTCAGTGTCTTAGCCACTGAGCCACTGAACTTTTCTATAGAAAAATGCAAAACAAAGTGTCAAATGGCATCAACTTAGGAGATTTAACAAGTTTTCTCTAATTCTACACAAATAAGCTCTGCAAATATTAATTTATAACTTTTTGGAACAGTCAAAACCTGCTTCCTAAGAGCCAGTTTAGTGTAATGGTTGAAGTGCTGGAGTAGAAACTGGAAGACAATAAATTCTAATCCTCTCTGAGGCATGGAAGCCAGCTGGCTGACTTTAGATGAATCACTTTCTCATAGCTTAACCCAACTCATAGGATCCTTGTGACAAAGAAAATAGGAGGAGGGGACATTGTATATGCTATGTTGAGTTTTACAAATAAAGGTGGGATACAAATAAATGTTTTCTTTTCCTAGCAGTGCACAGATTGTCTCTTCCAATAAAATCAGAACATTTTAAATTTAAGAAATAAATGTTTATTTTTTTTAATTCTCAGAAATTGTTTAAATTATATCTAAAAGATGATAAAAAGAAGAAGCATTCAAAATGTTGACCGACATATGGGAACAACTATCCATTAATGGAGTTAGACCTTGATAAAGAATCAGTGCTGTTTAAAAAAAAAGTTCAAATGTGTTTTTCCAAAAAGCAACTGTATTTTCTTGGGATTTTTTTCCTTTGAAAATGTTTTACTTCTCATCCAAGAATTCTGAAGTGAAGAAGTTTCTTGGATGAGAAGTGAAATGTTTTTTTAAAAAAAAAACATCAAGAAAGTCCAGTTGCCCTTTGGAAAAACACCTTTGGTACAAGCATGTCTTGGATGATTGAGGATCTCCATAGACATGAGCTCTAAAAGAGCAGAATCCCAGAGCAAAAAAAAAAAAAAGCTAAATATTTTTTTCTGTAAACTCCACAACATAAGGTAAAGGTTCCCCTCACACATATGTACTAGTCATTCCCAACTCTAGAGGGCGGTGCTCATCTCTGTTTCAAAGCCAAAGAGCCTGCGCTGTCCAAAAACGTCTCTGTGGTCATGTGGCCAGCATGACTAAATGCCGAAGGCACACGGAACTCTCTTTCTCCCCACCAAAGATGGTTCCTATTTTTCTACTTTCATTTTTACATCCTTTTGAACTGCTATGTTGGCAGAAACTGGGACAAGTAACATGAGCTCACTTTGTTATGTGACACTAGGGATTCGAACCACCAACTGCCAACCTTTCTGATCAACAAGCTCAGTGTCTTAGCCATTGAAGCACCACATTCTACAACTTAAGAGTATCCAATTTTTCTGTTAAATACATGGCTGGCTGTTGATTCTTATGTATCAAACTGAATCTTAAGAAGTACCCCAAAAATTGAATGAGCAGAGGCATAATCAAATAATGAACATAAACTGCACAAAGATGAGGATTTCAGGGTATACAATGAACTGCCACAGAATTCCGTGTTTTGGGGAAAGTACTGGAAAACATTCAAGAGAGATATAAGGATCGGTGTGGGCTCTATGAGGGCATCAGAGGACTAGATAAAATATTCTTCCCTTAATATCCTATGTTGGTTTTGTTTATAATTGGCTTACAATGAAGATGAAGTTGAGCATGAAAGGTCTCCTAGCCTTTGTCCCACCCTGCATTATTACACCTGTGGGTATAAGTCTTTTTTATATCCTTACAAGATGTACAGATTTGACATTCAAGCAGCTGCTCTGATATCTGACTCTATTCCTGGGCGGATCAAGAGAGGAAGTAATAAAAGCAATGGTCAAGATTAGTTTTACCTGTCCCTCTCAGTCTTTCTGTTTGTTCTCTGATCTACTGTGGCACTCATCAATTCCACAGAGGCTCAGTGTCTGGCAAGGAGGGTGAATAAATGTGACAACACAGAGATAAAGAAGCAGTCCCAGTCACTTTCTGTAATCCTGGCTTGAAGATTTATTATCATTTACATGGCAGCTGATTTCTCTGGGGTTTGTTTTTCCCCCTCCTTCCTTTTAACAACAATTCTGCATTGTACTTCCCATGCGGCTAGATGTTTTTTATGGAATGGAATATTTTAATTGTTGCTTGAGGCAAAAGGTGTCCAGCACCAAGGTTTCAGTCACTTCACATCAGAAACAGACTTTCTGTCAGCTTTGGCAGCAGAGGGAGGATGAACAAATATATTCATTCACCCATGAGACATGTATCTCATGTTTCTTGTCAGGATTAACTCTACTCCTGCACTTAAGAGGGGCTACTTTCTCATCCCCTATTTATTTTCAGGAACTCCCTTCCATTCTAGTCCTTTAAGTCAGGTTCAAACAATGGTGGCACAGCTTTATAATGCATTCTCTCTCCCTCCTGAATCAGGCTGCTAAGAGAGAATTGCTGAGAAAACAGTAGCCGAGAAGAATGGAGTTGGGATTGCAATGTCATAATGGAAATTATGAGTAAATGAAGAAAAACCTTGTGTACTGTGAAGAGGAAAGATGATGGGAAACAATTAAAAGGAAACTAATGTGCAGGCAGGGGTATGTGCAGAATAAAAGCAGGATAGCAAAAAAGAAAGGAAGGAAGGAAGGAAGGAAGGAAGGAAAGAAAGAAAGAAAGAAAGAAAGAAAGAAAGAAAGAAAGAAAGAAAGAAAGAAAGAAAGAAAGAAAGAAAGAAAGCAGAAGTTGCTCAAGGATGCTGGGTTGGACCATGCGGACTGGAACATGTGGGTCAGTTGATTTAATTTGTGTTTATTCTTATTTAATAATTAGAAATGGAATAGGCATTTGGTTGCTTCATAGACTAAGTCCTCCCAGATTCTATCAAGTCTTCAGTAGGCATATTTATTTGTGAACAATACCTTCTGCTCTTATGCTCAGGGAATCATATCCTAAAATGTAGTTCTTAATCTATTGGCCCACTCCCAAATGAGTCTATTGGTGCTCATGGGCTTTATTGATTGATTTAATTTATACAAATATATGCTTTGCTTGCCAGGTGTTCAAAAATGTATAATTAAAAATGATAATTAAGAAGTTCTCATAAAAGCAAGGAACACAGGGAGAGAAACAAAACAAAGCAGCTATAAAAATCTGAAGGCAGCATTAACATTAACACCGAGGAGCATTAAAATCTCATACAGGGTTAATGATCTTTAGTCGTGTCTAACAAAATGATAAAGGAGCCGATCTTACATTTCTCAAGAACTGCCAAACTACCAAATGTGTGGGGTCTCAATTCTCAAACAACTGCTTTTGGGGAGATTTTTAAAGTTCTGGTCCCAACAGACCTGAGGATATCAAGCAAAGGAAGACTGCTAGAAATGGGAGAGAAATCTCACAAAGGCCCATTCTCTGACAAATCTCTTATTCTGCCTCTGTCCTTGATTCCACCAATACAAATTACTTTTTCCTGCCCTATAAAATCCTATACTAGGTACTCCAGATATGTCCTTTTCCCTCCTATTTAAAAAACCATCTCAATGATTCATAGAAAGGACGCATTTAGTGTTAGCAAATATTGTGTTTCTTAGGCACATTACTGTTATGATCCTTTTTGTCATGCTGACTCAGAAAGATAGTCTTAACATTTTTATTGTGCTGTATAGAAATTATGAAAGAGTAACACATTTTGAAGGGCAAAAAACTAAGTTTCCCTTTATATCTTGCACGTGAGCCCAATATTGCATGAAACTAAGAGTGGCAGAAATTAACATACCTGTTGAGATCAGATCAGAAAGGATTATCCTGATTCATAGCTCAATCACTTCTCTATTATGCTTCACCCACAAATAAACATCATTCCAGCCTACTTGCTTCCTGCTATTACCAGAGCTTCTGATGTTAGCCCCCCACACTTCCCATTCATTCTACTATTATAAAATCCACACAATTAACTTGGCATTATGAAAAATCTGTCAGTAGGTTCTGACAGTCACCTCAGAGAATTCAACTCATATACCCAAGGCATCCAAAGCAACTACTATCTCTAAATAAAACAGCTAACCCCCAAAATGGGACTGCCCATTAGCTCTAACAAATTTCTTTATTAAATAATTATGTTCTTATAGGTTACAACACGAATGGTGCCAACAACCATCCACTCAGATTGTTCAGTCCTTCCCATTCTCTGACACACACAAACCAAAGATCCATGCCCCCAAATATATCCACATTTAGAATGTCTTACTTGTACACTTTTTGATAGCACTTCCTTTCTTGAGAGCATGGCGACTTAGCTTGCAGTGAAAGTTATCCTCCCAAAATTCAGCAAACCAAATGTTCCGGCGATTATTGTCCAGTGTCCTACTAGAGAAATAGCGATCAAAACCTAATGAGGGAAACAGATAATAAAACCATGAAACCAAAATAAATAGGGTCAGCATCTATGAGAGTAGACAACAGACCTTAAAGGATAAAAAGGAAATTTTAGCTATTGAAATACCATAATATTTTAAAACATTATCATTATTAGAAGTTAGTTTTGAAATACTTTAAGGTTTATTGTTAGCATTTATTGGATATCAAAGAGACTAAAAGATTTCAAAGGCATCTTCAACACAATTACTAGTAGATCAATAACTAAATGTGCTAACTTGCATCGCAGGCTCAAACTTGATAGTGGGGAAGCCAGCAATTTTTTTGTTTTCCCTGAAAGGAGAAAAAGTTATAGATCAAAACCCCCAGCTCACTCAATTATAATATTTAGTGATACTTTGCTAATTAAAAATAGTTTGGACAGTAGCATCGGCAGTAAGTATGCTGATGTAAAATTGAGAACATGGATTTGAAGGCATCATGATACAAATTCTGCACTTATGTACTTGCATTAGATGTTGTGATAATGTGCAATATTTGTGTGATGAAGTTATCAAAGCTTTTTATGGACACTATTGCTGATGCCACTTAATAATTTAGATTCCAGTTCTCACAACTACTTGTCATTGCTAAGGTAACTGGAACTGAATTGAATTCTGAAATATTTGAAGGCACCCAGACCCTCCCTACTCTCTCAGCCTTCTGAAAGTCTGTTAAGACTTGGCTGTTCCGGCAGGCCTGGGGCTGCTGATCTCTGATTGAGCTTCAGCCCCATTAACATCGGGTGTATGTTGTGTCCCTTTTTAATCTGCTGTTTTGTATTTTAACTTTTTTAGTATTTGTTTTTTAAACTGTTTTTATGTAAGCCGCCCAGAGTCCTTCGGGATTGTGTGGCATACAAATCTATTAAAACTTAAACTTAAACTTAACCATCTCTGCTTTGAAACTTCTTTGTGTCCATCATTCACCTGGGGCAAGCTGATTGAACAGGCCCTATTTTCCTGCAGGGATGAGTAGCACAGTAAGTCAAAAGGCAACTAGAGAGTGGTCTAATGTCCCTCTCTTCCAGATTACACTTCAACTTTGGGACAAAAAGTAGATCTAGCTTGCAGTCTCCAGGATCTGTTGTGCTGTTGATTACCTAGAAAAGCTCCCAGTTTGGCAGACCACAAACTCCTAAGATGCCCCAGATTCAACATCACAACCTAGTGACTTTAAATCCCTAAAGACCAATGGCCCAAAGTTGGCCCAAAGTTATGTATTTGCAGGGAAAATTTATTTATATTTGCATTATCACATAGATAAGCATGAAATTAATGTTTTGGTTTTCATTCATAATGTCTTCATTGAAGGTTCATGGGCTTTATTAACAGAAAAAAGTTTTCATTTGACTTATGTTGTTCGTGGTTTTCAGAATACAGCATCTTGTTGACTTGAAATTATAAGCTGTTTTAGACAGTTCTTTTCATGACATCAAAGGAGAGAAACAACATACATTGAATTTATTTACTTAGCATTATTTATTTAGCAAATAATCAGCTGAATGGTCAGCTTGGAAATTCTCTGATGTAAAAGCAGATCAACCTCCAGACAGGCAAAGTGTTAGAGTTAAAGATTATTGAAGGTAGCTTGGTGTTTGCAGCCTGCAGCAGATTCATCCTATTGATGAATCATTGCCTCAGCTTTCAATAACCCATGCCAGTCCATGTCTGGCTGGGAATTATAGCAATAGGAGTTAGACTTATATACCGCTTCATAGGGCTTTCAGCCCTCTCTAAGCAGTTTACAGAGTCAGCATATCGCCCCCACAGTCTGGGTCCTCATTTCACCCACCTCGGAAGGATGGAAGGATGAGTCAACCTTGAGCCGGTGAGATTAGAACCGCTGAACTGCAGATAACAGTCAACTGAAGTGGCCTGCAGTACTGCACCCTAACCACTGCGCCACTTCGGGTCACTGTCATCTGAAACATATAGAAGACACTAAGTTGCCTTCTCTGGTGATTAATAGGGCAGCTGGTCAAAATCTGATTCAATTTTGCAATTCATTTGATAAACTGATTTGAAACATCAAAGCATTTGGGTGATTTGTTGCTACAAAAATCTCCTCATGCCTATAAGTTCAACTAATGTCTGGATTAATTCAGAGGCAACTGATCTGCTATGCCCCAGACTTATTTACAATTCTGATCTGAAGATTTAGTTAAAAGATTGAATTGCCACTGAAGTGAAGCTTCACATGGTCCTCAATGGTAAGTATATTTTTTATCTATTTATCTAGACATCATCGAGAGTCTAACAATGCCAGATTTAGCTCACAGCCATAGTTACATTTCTTGGAGAGTCATTCATTAGAAAGGAAAGAACTGTCGAGTACCATAAGCCCATTAAACAGACTTCATTCAATTAATAAGGCTATGCCTTAGGGAGAGAGTCATAAAGCCACCATCTTCCGTGTATGTATTTCAACTCCCTCTGATAGTCATTTTACACTAAAGAAATTAGTTTGTGTTTAGCATAATTATAATTAAGCTTTTGCTATTGGCTCAGAGCAGCATAGCTTTGTGTAGTCAAAGGCCCATATCCATTGCATCAGTGGTAGGTTTCAATTTATTTTACTACTGGTTTGCTCGTGCGTGTGCATGCTCGTGTGCATGCATGACACTCTGCACATGCGCAGAAGCATCTGGGTGGGTGAGCGGAGCCTCCCACCAGCGCCACTACAAGTTCGCCCGATCCAGGACGAACAGAAAGAAACCCACCTCTGCATTGCATTCACTAGTTTTTCTTTCAAAAAATATGTGTTTTCCAGGCTGCTGATTATCCTTTGCTTGATGGACAACTGATTTCAGATCATGCCATTTATTTGCACATGAATTTGAAGATGAGGGAAGGTTGATTTAAGTCCATATACTTGCTTTTTAAATTTATAGCAGTTTCAAAATGAGCACTGTTAAAGTGCCAGTTTTTCTGAATTCTCCCCACTACTACTACCGCCATAAATAATTTTTCACTTCTTTAAAAAAAAATTATAATCATGGGTTAAATATTTTTATTGCATGCATATTTCACTATTTTTTTTTCAAAACTCTCAGTCTGACTGATATCTTAATATTTTATTGTCTTAACAGTGTGTGCGCTGAGTTTTATAAAAGATACGTGGCAAATCCTGGGGGCAGAGTGAAAAGAGGGATCAGCCTAGAATCCCTATGTAACCACAAATGTAACATCCTTTGAGTGCTATTGACCTTTATCTAACTCTAAACAGGTTGTGATTGTTAGTTAAGAAGATTCCTGGGCATGGGCTTTTAGCAATAAATCAGCTTAATTGAAACTTAATTGGACCTGGTCTTTCACACCTGACAATAACTGACCCAAGTAACCCTGTGACCTTTATGGTTGAATACAGGTTTGTATTCAGGTTTTCTCCTGTGTGATTTCAACATCTTAAGTATTACTTGAGATAAGGATCTCCATTTTGATCATAAAAAACTAAGATGTAATCACTTAAGAGTTGTATGCAACTATTGAGCCTAACGTTATGGTGCACTGACATCTCTGAAAGAGCAGAGAGACACTGCAACAGAGATCTCAGACTGGAACATAGATGCTAACCTGCAAAATCTTTTTGGATCAAAGACAGATGCTGAGATAACCCACTTGTACTCTGGGTGGTGACTCCCCATAAATAAATTGCAGAAATTGAAAATTTTGCAGCCAATCTGGGAGTTGAACAGCCAGAAGTCCTGGGATTCCACCTACATTCATAACTGCAATATAACCTATATAGAAAATAAGACTTTCTTCCTCATTTCTTAATTACTTTGTGAAATAATTAATCTATAAATATAGAGGAATTTTCTCTGCAGCAAAGATAAGATTCCTTTTGGTTAATTAAACCTTCTTTCAGGATTATAAAAATCAAAAGAGACTTTAAGGATTTAAAGATTCGAGATTTTTTTGCAAAAACCTAAACAAAGAGAACATTTAATGTCTTCACAATTTAACCTTAAATGTGAGTGACATGAAGGCACATTTCATCATGTTTGATGGACATGTAAAACAGCCAGAAAATTTTGAATACAAATGCATACAATAATTCAGAAGATTACAAAGAGTAAAAATACTGTTGAAACCAGAGGGTTTTCTTTGGGGCTAATAGAAAGACAGCTGGAAAAATAATAATGAAACTTTTGTTTCTAGGCTCAAAGGGGAAGTACATGTCAGCCATGTTTAGGAGGGCCTTTGATTTGATTTATCTTGTATCAACTGTATTTTACTCACAATTGGGGAATTGTCTTATAGCTACCTTTAGTTTGGACTATTGTAACACAGTCTACATGGAGCTGTACTTGAAAACCATTCCAAAATTATATCTGGACCAGAATATGGTGGTGCAAGTAGTTATGAATGCACCTCACTTCACCTATGTGACACTTTTATTTTGTTAACTACACCAGTTACTACTTTGTTTCCAGGTTCAGTTCAAAATGCTGATGATAATCTATAAAGCTTTTCATAGCTTTGAGGCTTAGATATTTACAACTTTCTCCAAATATTTCTCTCCATCCCATAAGACTTGGCAGAATCAATTCCTCTGAGTCCAACAACAACAACAACAACAACAATAACAACAACAACAACCAAAAAAATGTCTTTTTACTGGAACTCAGAGAGGTATCTTACTTTGGCCACTGGAACAGCATTTACCCCTTAGGTTTGTTCCTGCACTAATTCTGCTGTTCTTTACAAAACCCTTATAAACTAGAGTCTTCCAGCAGGCCCCGTGTCAGGGTGATTTACCAATCAACTGAATTGTTGAGGGATTGTTTGATTTTCCCTGGCATGTCCATTTATTATTTTTGTTCTTTATTGTTATGGCACGTTTTAATCTTTTGGTGTGCTGCCTTGAGTCATTAAATAATAGGAATGAGAAGGTCATCATTTTGCAAATAAAATTTTAATAGTAGCCCACAAACCTGAAAGGAGAAAATGTGTGTGCAAATATATAAAGAACAGGATTGGAACATTGACGAATAAACCAAATCAAAGATACAAACACTTCCTTGAAATGTAATATAAAATGTTGAAAGAGGAAGCCTTGGATTAAAAGGATCTGAATTTAATATGAGTAACATTTTGATTATCTATTATACTTTTCTTCTTACAAAGATCATAAATAGCGTTCTCTCAGGTTTATAGATCCTTGTTCTGACCTAAACTTACTGAACTTCAGCAAGGAGTGTTATTACGTGTCCTCAGATGGGACCATCCTGCAAGTGGGTCTGAAATCTGGAGTGAGTTTTTGATTTTATATTGAACACAACAGAAGAGGAACTCATAAGAAACAAGGACTCGTAGCATAACAATAGAGGGCTAAGATTGGAAAAGAATTGAGGACCCCATTTAACAAATTACTGATAATGATATTGATCTCCTCAAAGCAGAAAGGATAGTCTTTTCAATCTAGTAGGCATGTCTCAAATTTTGAGAGGATGCAATGAGTGTTTTCTCTTGAGAAGAAGGAGGAATTACAAAACACCAATTTCCTTGAAGAGGCTGCTTTTCTCTTCTGTCCTCCAGGATCTCCTTGTACCTCTAATCTAGCTTTGTCTTTGTGGGATGCAGCTAAGCACACTTTAAAATCCAACTGCGAAGAGCAACTTACCATTTTGCCCTGCTGATTAAAAGAGAATATATGGATGTCCATTAGTACTGTAATAGAGCTGATATCTTGTTTTTACAGCATGCTAAAGAAACTCAGGTTATGTTGGAAATCTCAGGTTGAGTTGTCCTTGCTTTGCAATACTTACCAACTGAGGATGTTTCATCCTAAAGCTGAAAGCAAGTATGCTTAACAGTCTTCTTAGAGAGTACATCAGAGCTACTTGATCTTAGTGAAAGTCTTTTTTAAAATATCTTGATACCATCATCTCAAATGCATGGGAATAATCCTGATTGTGCTTAGGACAGGAGATCTCCAACTGTAGGTTTTGAGCAACTTAGAAAAAGGTGGCAATATTTTTCTAAAATATTGCTTCCGGTAATTAGACTTGGTCTTTGAGTATTACTAAAGTTACAAATGGTTTTCTGCCTCCTTTCTTTTCTTAGCAGAGGCCCACAGCATCTATGAGTCACATATAATCCAGTGTTATTATTTCTGTTGTAGAATGTGACTTTCAATGAACTCTTATTATACTCTCATGTCTATTTATTTTACAAGATATTTATCTATTAAAGTCTGCCAAGACATCAAAAAGTCAATAAACTCTATAAACTGTGATTAAATTGTTTTGTATTTTACAAGTGTGGTTTTTAACACAGTTGAAATGAATAAAAGTCTGGTTTCTGCAGAGAGTTACAACCGACATGTGACAAAATATTACTGGATATTTCTGATCCATGAAATCGGCCATCAATAATTGAGTTCCGCTTCTTTTGGGAATGCTTCTGGCTTCTGTACTAGTGCCCTTGGTAGCAATATAGTTTTGATATTTGGATTGATGTAGAAGTTTACACAAGTATTTTACAATAATCAGAGGATCATTGGTTGCCCTCTTTGGGGAGTTTTATAGCTCCCATTGCCTTAAGAAAGTTCAAAACATTCTCAAAAATCCACCTCATCCTGGGCACTTTTTTTTTGAACTATTACCATCTGGTAGATGGTACAGGATAATAAAAACAAGGACAAACAGGCTGAAAAACAGCTTCTATCCCAGGGTAATAACCACATTGAATTCTACGGTATAGTGCAATATTGGGTTTTCAATTTCAATTATATAGAATGTAAAATTGTAATGTACACTGAAGACGGCATTTAATTTTGTTGTACCATGTGCAACGACAATAAAGTAAACTAAAAAAACCACTTGTATAGTAAAGTAAAAATGAACATTGTTACCCATTATTTTAAGTTTCTAACCATTCAAAAAAAGATATTGGTATGTGGTAAGAGAAATGATAAAAAATACATTACATTATCCAATGCCAATCAAAATCAAGAAAGTGCACTAACAAAGTATACTGACAACTGTATCTCTGATTTCATCATTGTTTTTCATACTGGAAAAGAAGAATCTTAATCTGTTATTTGTAAGAAAATGCTGTTCACTCAAAGTTCCAAGCCAAGCAGACTGGCTTCAGTTTTCAAAATGACCCCTAGAATTGAATCAAGGGGAAAGTAGTAAGGTATATTCATTTCTTGTCTAATGGTAGCACAAAAGAAATCGCTCAATTGAGTACTGTTGCCATTTTGGAAAGTTGAGAAATCTTAACTTACAGTATCTTAACATCTGGCTTTAAAGCTCTGAATGACCATTAGCAAAGGGTTAATCTTTTGTTTTTCTTGCCATGGCATGGTTGTCTGGATTTTTACAACCTGTATGTGGCAACATTAGTATAGCCCCCATTTGATATCCTTTTGTCAATTTCAGCTGGGATATATCATTCTCAATGATCATAACAATTACTGAGCATTTCAGAAAGAATCTTCCAGATGGCACATTGTTATGATTATCTACAGCATGTATAAATGTTACCACAATTAAGCATCAGTGTGTGATCCCATAAACCAGAATTTTGTTCCATGTTATAAACCATATCTCTGTGGGAGGAAGAAAGTATGCGGTACATCACTATCTACTGGCATGAAAAGTGGGCAACTGTAGTCCTCCAGATGCTGCTGGACTACAGATCATATCATTCTTCATTTGTCATAATGATCAGCATTGAAATTTAACAACATCTGGAGGGCCACACATGCCTTTTCTTGAACTAGATCACCAGATTTTCTGACTCCCAGTTGTTTAATAGTCACAGCAACTAAAATGGAATTTGGATACTGGAATAAAGAATGCTGGAGGGTGGGAGATGAGTTGGTTTTGCATTTTTTGTATAAAAAGATTATAATTTTAGTTCTGGTGGGCTAAATATTTACTTAGAAGCTTGCTACTCCCTAAATGTGAGACTAACTCCTGAGCCACTGCTTTGGCCACACATGGCTGATGATACTGAAGTTTTAATATAAAACAATATAGGCTTCATAAACATGAAACTATCCACTTTAGGTCAGAACATCTACTATCACTTTTTAACAAATTGAGACACCTTTTCAGCAAGCGGTCTGATAATAAGCAAGACATACATCATTTGTTGCTAAACAAGCTGTTGTTCAGATATTTCAGCAGAGCAAAATTCAAGGCAAATCATGGACATTCAAGGAATAAGATCTTTTAATGTACCCCAAATCAAGATGAGCTTCTTTCCATAATTATCAAAAAGCATGGATGACATCTGAATGAATGTTACAAGCTAAGAATAATGATAACAGATTTTTATTTTTATACATTTACCAAATTCAAAGAACAAGCTAAAACAAGCTAAGCTTGAAAATTTCTAGGCTTACCTCTAACAGATGCCCTCTTGGGCAAGATGGTGACAGATCCTTCTGCAACCTCTTCCACATCTCTCACAGGGGCAATTTTGGAACCCCAGCTGTCAGAACCCATCCAGATGAAGTGCCCACTCTGATTGGCTCGCTTTGCTGCCATCAACACATTCCTGGAGAGACAAAAGCAAAACCCAGCTTATGTGATCATTAGGGTTTTTATATTTAAACTGATGCAGACACTGTGTCAAATTGGCAAGACAGGAAGCACCCACATTGTGTTCATTATATAAATTGCAAATAAAATTAACTTGGCATGTCCAGTCATATCCAGAAGTAACCTATTCAGTTACCACTTTTCACAGCATAAAGTGCTATTTGCCATATTTATTTCTCTGCACAACATTAAATCTATGGATACACATAGCAATCCAAATCTGGATTCTCCTTCAAAGTAACCTTTAACATCTTCAAAGCAACCATAACCCAATCAGACCATAACTTTGAAGACTTTATCTCACAAATTTATTATCCAGTGATTCTTTATTTTGCATTTCTTGAAAATATGGGGTGTGCATTTAAAGAGTCAATGAATGCTGGACAATCAGGATCAAATACACAGGAGTTAGTGAGACCATGTATTTAGGACAATTTAATGTTCTACAACTCTTTTAGCCTCTATAATAAACATCCCATTTATAACTAAACTCTGGGAGGTATGGCATAAGGATTTAGGAGAACTTACAGGATTGAAGTAAAATGGAATTCACTATTTTTACCTAGCATTGTTGTTCCAATATCACCTGAAATGATGGTATAATGTTCTCTAGGAAAAAACTGATTGCCTGTTCCATTCCGCATCACCAGATAATCCAATTTTTAATTTAGTCTGCATAACCTATTCCAATTTCTGAAATTTCTGCCAATCCCAGTAACAAGTAAACCCGATACAAGTTTTTGCTTTCATTACAATATCTGGGAGAAATTTTATTTTGCTATTATTTATTAAAATTATTATACTGACAATTGCTGAAGTCTCTTGATAACATAGTATAAACCTAAATTAAAACTCTGCTAGAATAATAATGTAAACAAAATAAAAAATAATGTAAACAAAATAAACAATTCAAACCATGTCATAGAACTTTTTAAAACATAAGTTAAGGTCCACAATTCAACAGAGAGTTAATTCTAAAGAACTTGCGTGACTACAGACAAGGCATGATTCCTGGTTGCCTGCAGCAGCTTTAACAGAACTTCCTCAGATGATTTCAACAAGTAGGGAGGGGTAATCCAAGAGGTGTTGTCCTATGCCTTGAACCCAAGCCATAGATGATTTTATAATATAATATAATAATCAACACTATGTATTTCATCTGAAACAAAGTGGTTTATTCTACAATATTTTCAGCACTGATGTGATTTTCCAAAGGGCAACTTGGCAGCTGAATTCTGTGCCAACTCAAATTTCTAGACTAGACATAAAGGCTGTCCCATAATTGCTTAAACTTACATTTCCATAATATACATGACTGTTTTGAGATCATTTTCTTCCAGGAAGGAAAGGAGTTGGCATATCATTTAAAGCCAATGAAAAGTATCTCTAGCTATTGCCTCACTTGGAGAGAGATTGGAGAGATGAAAATTGAGAAATACTCGAAAACTTTATATCTACTTCTTTGTAAAAGTGTAATTCCATTCAGAACAAAATCTACCCTGACTCTGGAATTATCGACCCTCACAAAGAACATCTTCATCTTGTTTGATTCCAAATTCAATATATGAACCCACTAAGTTCAATTCATTATCAACTGCAGGCAGATATTCAAGAGAACCACTCTATTATCTGAAGATGTTTCAGAGAATACATGTCTGGATACATCTATGTACTGATATCCTGCTCCAAACCTCCATATTTGGAGGTATTCAGATATTAAAAAGCAATGGAAATCAAATGGAAGGACCAGTGTATAGTTCAAGCAGAAACTGTTTCCAAATAATAATATCTCCCATTCTCACAATTTTCAGTACAGTAACCCAGACGGATATAATGGCTGATATTATTATCTGAGGGACTGTCTGTTGCCGGTCACATCTACCCGACTCACCAGAGCAGGAGGCAAGGAATGTTGAGGGTCCCATCTCCTAGGGAGATACACATGGTGGGACCCAGAAGAAGGGTCTTCTCCTTGGTGGCTCCCTCTCTCTGGAACATCATTCCCCCAGAGATTAGAATGGTCCCCACTCTAACACTCTTCCAGAAGGCACTGAAGACCTGGTTCTGCCAGTGGGCCTGGAGAAGCCAGAGTGGGATGGAGCCCATTAAATGGCTTGTGTGATGTGTTGTTGCCGGGGTGTTTTTTTTTAAATTATATTATTTTATTAATTTATTATATGATTCTCTTTTTTATTAGTTTTATTATTTTTATATGAGGTTTTTATATTCTTGTAAGCTGCCTTGAGTTGCCATATGCAAATAGATGACAATATGAATTTCCTAAATAAATAAATAAAAGCCTTTTTAAAATTGAAAAAAAAAAGAGTCATATCTCTGCTGTCAAGGTCCAAAGACAATACAATTATTAATTGTAGTTTTACTGTTACCAATAACAAGATAATGGCTCCATCATGACCAAAAAGCTGTTTAAAAGATTTTAGGTACAGGAAGATAAAAAAAATCTACTTCACATCCAGTCAAATTTTTGTATTTCTAACTGGGAACTATCTACCAGATTAATGGGAACTCTACTGCACCACAGGAAATGGTGCTAGTTGTTTCACCAGGATTTGGAAGGATTTGAATAGAGGAGTAACTGAATAAGTGATATGCACTTCTTTTGTTTGGTACCTATAATTTTATTCCCCTTTAATGATTGAGGATGTTCAGAGTCTTCATTTGATGACTGCTCAAAATTACAATGTACCCGCTCCCCCCCAAAAAAGATACTGATTACTTCCCTCCCATAGTTACGTGATAGCATTTTGGACACTTGGCAGTCAGTTACAGTGTTTCCTGGTCACATGGCCATGATTTGTAGCATTTTTTGCTGTTTTCCTCTGGGAGAATGGATTCACTTAATGACCATGTGACTCATTTAACAATCACGCGATTCATTTAACAATCATGGTGATTCACTTTACTATGGTTGTAAAATCAAGTCAGGTCAGGTGGTGGGTGACCTGCTTAACAACCACAAGGATTTATGATGGAAATTCTGGGTTCATTATGGTCATTAAATAAGGGCTACCTGTAATACAGTATTAAACATGTATTTATTTTAGTCACTAAAGAGTATACTTGGATTATTTTATTTTGCCATGTCCTTGGTGAGCATCTCCTTTTCAATCAAAATTTTTTGGAAACAGATACTTGTTAACTTTGAGATGGTCTCATTGCCATTTATTATTAATATTGTTATGGTGCCTTCCAGTCAGTCTTGTCTCCTGGCAAGTGCCTGGATAAGTCATTGCAGTTTTCTTGGCAAGATTTCAGTACTGGTTTGCCATTGCCTGCATCCTAGAACTCAGAGAGAAAGAGAGTGACAGAGTCACCAGGTGGCTTCATGCCTAAGGCAGGACTAGAGCTCAAAGTCACCTGGTTTCTAAGCTTACGCATTAACTACCAAACAACTACTTAACCTTGATCGTCTCAATTATGGTAGAATTAAACAAAGGATTCCAAGTACAAGAGAAGATGAACTTGCCCTTGGCAAATTCCAATGAAAGGAGGTGATTAAAAAAGAGTGTGCATAATGATAATTCAGAACCTATATAAGCTAGTCAATACCCCTTTCCACATGGAATGGAACAGAATTAAACAGGAGAATGCTGAATATTTTTTGGATTTGAAGTGATCCACCCACTATCATCTCTTTGGGATTCCATGATTGGCAGAAGGGTGAAGGTCTTCTTTGTATGTTACTACTCTTCAACAGTCTTTGCTCCTTGTCTTGTGTTATGTTATATTCTTGGCTATTATGTTACAACTATCTCATGTTAATTTGCTATTGTACTACTTTCTTATTCTGCCTTGGAATAAGGCATACCTGCTCATATACTCATCATTGCTTTGGAATCTAAAAGAATCCAAATTTCCAGTCTGTTGGACAGGGACACAGCAATACAGAGTCTGAGGTCTTGCACAGCACTGACCCTTTAACTGGAGAGGCTGCAACTGGATCTGAGATCTTCTACATTAAAGCATCTGCTCTACATTTGAATTACAGCTCTTCCACTTTGGGACATAATCCTGTGCAAGTCTTCACCAAAATTATGACACATCCTTAGTTCAGTGAGGTTTATACTGAACCTTGTAGGTGAAATCCATCATCACTTTATAATAGGGTATCTTTCTTCTCCAACTTTCTTCAATTCCCATGTGCTCAAGTTTTGTTCCAAAGAATTGATATTAGATTTGGAAAGTTTAAAAGAGGAAATGTTTCTCCCAGATCACTGGAAACTACTGTATAGTTCAATAGAACTTAACTATTATACAGGATTGCAGCCTTACTTCAGGATATCACAATTTAACATTACTCCTTTTGTAATAAAATCATTAACATAAGCTATCAAAAACTCCTTGAAAATGAGAGAGGGAAGAGGTACAAAGATACTTTACCTATCATATCATTATCATCTTTGAGCCACAAAATTTTAAGCAGTGAAAAATTAGGCAGAAATGACATCAGAGCTCAGTAACAAGAGCCAAGATACCTTCAGTGAAAATGTTATGCTAAAGGCTTTCTTAAGGTTTCTCAAAAGTTTTCAACCTTTGAAAAAATTGTCCCATTTTTCTACCTCATTCTCAACAAGCTGTAGAAAGCTTTTAGTATTTATATGAGTAGGATTTTGAACTTTTGGGGGGACAAAGTGGCAGAGTACAGTTGTTTTTCTTATATACTGGTAAATTTCCTCTGTGGGAAGAGCTGAGGTATATTGTCTTTCTATGACCTTGAATAAAAATGTGGGAAGACAGGAAGGCTGCTGGAGAAAGGTGTGGAAGAAATGATATAAACCCTTATAAAACATCCACACAACCTCCTCATTACTAAGGCAAGAATTTCCCATCTGTATATGTGAATGTCACCAACCTGTTTTTATTTTTTTTTTGGGGGGGGGAAGAGAATCAAAAGTCATTTATTTTCCTTCCAATAAAATTGAAAAAGTGTGGCAG